TGACTGTGCACCATACAGCAACACCCCCCCCCCTTTCCCCAGCCACCTCAGGCGGCAAAAAGGCTAGCGACACCCCTGACCACACCGTTTTGAACCATGCTCACTGTAGATGAGCCGTCCTAACGTTCACATTGTACATGTAGCATGCTGCAACCCCAACCCCTATTTGGTTTCCCATGGATCAAAAGGTGGCATCCCTAGTAGGAGGTCATTGGTGGAGTTCAGCCATGGTGTTGGGGATTCAATAGGATTCATTAATTTTCTAATTGGAGTAAATAGGAAAGATGTGAGTACTGGGCGAAAGTTGTATGAATCTTGTGTAAAAACATTTATAAATAGACCTCTAAGTGTTCTTCACTGATAGTGTGCTAGCTGCTAAATAATAAAGAACAAGTTTAATACAGTTTAATTTTGCGCTTTTCAGTTTACCACTGTGCTTTGCATTGCTTTACTGAATAAGACTCAAATATAAAGTGATTTCCATATATATACACAAACATAAGACTGGTGCAGTATTATACAGGTTTTAAGTTGCCTGGTCTGCTTATATTTTTGTTTAAGCATCCCCTTTGTTTTTCTTTGGGGAACAGCTTACTGTAAAGTCCAGACATACCTTGTACCGCCAGTTCTTTCCATCTTTCTTTGTTTTGCTGAATTATTTCAACCAAATTCTTTTTGAAATGTTGTAAGTCCACAGTTGCCAAAGAGTATTCCATTACAGATCCTCCATCAGTCTGTGAGGTTCGCATGCTGGGTTTCTTTTGTGTGTCTGTAACACGGCCAGCTTCAGAATTATTCAGACTAGAAAAGAAATAGATGTGTTTTTAATGGAGTTTCTACTTCATTTGTAAATGTAGCCAAATCACCTCTTGAAGTGACAAAAATTAAAAAGCTGACGTGAACAGCATTATGCAAGCAACGTGTGCGTTTTATCTTTCTGCATTTTTGTGGCTTGGCTTCAAAGTCAGGGCAACAAGGCTTGTTTTTTCTAATTCAGTACGGTTAAGCAGCACAAATGTATCACTGATCACAAGGCTGTATCTTGCACACCAGCTGTAGCACAGTATTACAAGTCTAGAGTGACTTGTACAGCTTGTGGAGGGTTCCTACTGTGGGGTGAAGTGAGCAGTCTCACGTATTAGGAATAAAAGTTGAATTCCTGGTGCATAATTCTTAAAGAACAGTGGTGGTGTTAGCACTTTTATATTAATATAAATTGGATTTCTCTTTGATTAGTAATATCAGTCTTCCTAAAACACCTAAAAAGAACAAACAACTACAGTTTTTGTCAAATAAAAACAAAAATCAGAATTAGGGATGCACCCATACCGATAACAGTGCCGTTACTGGTCATTTTAACGAGTAGTTATATTAAACGCTGATACCCGGAGCTTTTAATTTTTAAACTGAAGTGGCTTGCTAAGGTCCCGCACTTGCTGGGGACCTTGGCAGCATTTCTGTGAACCACACGGAGCCTTTTTACAGCACTAGCCACACAGCTCCTTCTCCTACTTCCTGGGGAACCACGTTGCCTGCACTTGCCCACAAGACCCTGTGGATGCCTGGTGAGACCCCGTACAGCCCTGGTGAGAGCCCGCACAGCCCTGGTGAGGCCCTGCACAGTCCTGGTGTGACACTGCACAGCCCTGGTGAGACCCTACACAGCCACCTGACACCCTCCATAGCCCACCTGAAAACCCACACAGCCCCCCTGAGACCCCACACAGCCCACCTGACACCCTGCACTGCCCCCCTGATATCCCACACAGCCCTCCTGAGACCCCAGATTACCCACCTGAGACCCTGCACAGCCTCCTCAGACCCCGCACAGCTCACCCAAAGACTCAGCAACGCCTCCTGAGACCCTGCACAGCCCACCTGAAACCCTCTACAGCCCTCCTGAAATCCTCCACAGCCCACCTGAGATGCTCCACAGCCCTCCTGAGATCCTTAACTGGAGACCCCGGAGCAGCACAGAGTATGCAGCTTCATAATATTCTGCATTGATGTATAATGTATTGCTGGGATTTGTAGGCCTCTATAGCTGGTTGCCTTTCAGCATTGCTGTATAATGTATTGCTGGGATTTGTAGGCCTCTATAGCTGGTTGCCATTCTACATTGTTGTATAATGTATTGATAGGATTTGTAGTCCTCTATAGCTCATGGTATTATTCTGCATTGCTGTATAATGTATTGTTGGGATTTGTAGTCTCTCTACAGCTTGACTTCAATGACAGAACTACCGGGATCACAGCGTTTGCAGCTGCGACTGGGCCCTGGTGCTCCACCACTGTTCTAAAATCATTAGTCTGTATTGTTTTAGACCTGCACTTGAGGAAAATATCATAACTTGTACTCAATCTGGTAAAAATGTGATATCGGTGCATTCCTAATCATTATGTTATTGGGCAGATTGTAAGCTCTCATGGGCAGGGCACTTCTTGCTATCGTGTCTTGATTTGTATCATAACTGTAATGTCTTCCTTATATTGCAAAGCGTTGCGCAAGCTGTTGGGGCTATAAAGACCCTGTATAAAATTAATAATGATGAGATCTGATGTATTAAATGGGCTGATCCTACTGTATCCCACCATTATAACTAGTGAACCCATCTCCCTTTATTCTAGCATGGAAGTACAGCTTAGCTACAGGTTACCCTGGTTCCAAGCCTAGCCCCTTTTTCTGTCCTGCCACCATTGCCTCAGCAGCTTAATGATCTCAGCTCTTCTACTACTTTACTAAACATCGATTCAAGCTCCCTGCACCCGTGCACAGTGGGTACTTAAATGTTCAGATCTGCAGACAACTGATGGGAAGCTTTATTTCTGGACAAGGAGGACAAGAACCAGATCTGTTCAGCTGAAACCCAGACAGGTGGCAACTCTACTTCCGTGTGAAAATAATAGTGAAAATAATGTAACAACTGTGGCTGAAAAGGGAAAACTGTTGGTGCTGTTGATATTTTAAGTAGTAGTAAGCTGGATTCATTGCATCCCTCCTGTATGTGTGTTCACTGATGCTGTATGTGTTTTGCTGCTGTGATATTTATGTAGTGGTGTCTACTGACATCTAGAAGCACCATAGTGCCACTGCAATTTGTTTATTTCAGCATTTGGTATTTCCCTGTACCCCTGTATGTTACTGCTTGTTGGTACAATCTTTAAATAGACCCCCTTCTTCTCCATATTCCCTCCTACTTTGAGAATAGAATTGGATTGAATTGAACGTTTGTGTCTTATTGTTGAGTTAAACTGCCTATGGAGGCTGCTGAATCAGCATGTGATTGTACTGTCAGGACAGATCAAGATCTATGGAGGTATGTCAGTGCATAAAGTGAAAAATGAGATAGAACAGTAAGATGACAGATTTCTTTAACAGTCTGCTATCTGCTAATCTTTCCTGTGCCTGAGGGAGCACATCATTCATTTGTACAGGACTCTGAGTGAACCCAATGCTGCAATATAGACTCTCATATCTGCTTGCAATAACACTGCCTTTAACAACTAGGGATCATATTAGAGTCTACTGCATTATTCTCATGTGCTTGCTCTCATTCATTAGAAGCAAATCTTTCTACAGTGCTGTGCATACATTTAAGTTTTTGAGTATTGAAGAGGCTTTGCAACTATATCTCTTTCCTCAACATCCACCAGAAACACTAGGAGATCTTCAGGATCATCCCGCTCAAGGTGTTCGATGCTCCGCAAACATCTTATATAGATTCATGCAAAGGCACAAGCCTCCTGCTTAAAGAAAGAAGTAGCCTTTAACCCTTATATTTTTTGTTAAAATACACATTTTAGGGCTAAATATTGCTTAAAGAAATAAGTACCATGGTATCCTAGAAAGGCATAGGTAATGCCCCTTTCACACGGGCTGATGAAGAGGAGATGTGTGTACCACTGTGTCATCCGTCTCTATCCAGTTTTGCCCTCCATTTTGTGATGCAGGAAAGAACTAAAACTGCCAGAGCCCACATTGGTCTATGGGGAGTCGGTTGTGTCTGTTTAATCTAGTCACCATCAGGTCCGGTAAAATGGAACACTCTCTGAAAAACTGGCAGACGGACCCGATCACACTTTCCAGGGGAAAGGGACCCTATTGCAGAAAGAGTATGTGATATAACAGTAGTTACATTCACGCTACCATAACTGCGTGCTATTTATGTTCTGACATTTGGGCACTTAAATAATCTGAACATTTTACTAAAAATCATTATTAGTTTTTATTTACACTATAAGACACGTGTCAGAACTTCTGTACCGGTTCAAATCAATTTGAATACAAATACATTTTTGAATAATTTCTGTATACTGAAACCTTGTCCTTTGCCAGTGGCAACAATTCTTAGAGACATTTTTCATTTTGGACTAATTAAAAAATCACTGTACTGTGGAGTATTTTTTTCATATGGTAGCTAAAGTTTAAAGTGACATTAAACCCTCAGATTTTTTAACATAAACCAATACTGTAATGTGTGCTTTACTGTAATCCATGGTTGTTTCCCTTCTCTTTGCTGCTCTTCCTTTTAAATCCTCATGTCTTCTCATGCTGGGGGAGAACTTCCCTTTGCAGCTGAGTGCCTCTTCCTGTAGTGCTGGCTCAGGTTGTGAACCTTCACACAGACACCATGTATCCATTTCAGAGACAAGGCAGTCTGCTCCAAAACAGAAGTTCTGCCCAGCATGAGAAGAGATACGGATTTAAAAGGAAGAGCAGCACGGAGAAGGGAAACAACCATGGATTACAGTAAGGCGCACATTACAGTATTGTTTTATGTTAAAACATCTGATGGTTTAATGTCACTTTAAGGTTTGTTGTAAAGAATTCGAAATGGAAAAGGAAAAAATGGTTTAACCCTTTAGTGATCATGGTTCATTGAAGCCTAGATGCCCAGACCAAATTTAGCAGCATGATTGTGCATCTATTAACTTGATAATAACTCTATGAATATTTTTTTCTACATAAAAATCTATATACACATACATACATTCAGGCTTTTATTGTATACACAGCTTTTGTTTTCATTATAGGCTGACAAGTGGACAACATTTTTTTTTATATATACTGTAATGGTATTTGAAAATGATATTATTGTTCATCATCTTTAAGCCATTTTCAGACTGCTGTAGCAACTACAGGCTCAAACTTTTTTGTTTGTTTTAATGAACCTCTAGCCTACATTTAATCACTATATCATAACTATATTTATATGATTGCACTTATATGATTGCTTTACTTCTTGTCTTGTTAATTAAATAAGGCTAAATTGGGTAGGTTCACAAAGATTATGGCACATGTTATCACTAAACAATAGCTGCCGAATTACGATAATTGTGACATTATGTTAGGCGTCTATTAGCATAGTTTAGAAAATGGCACCATTTGAGGTGCAGATAAATTAAAATAAATACTGAGTCATAAGAAATCGGGAGTCTCAGTAGTGAAATATCTATTTTATGTGACAATATAATGATTTCATAGCTATGCTATATTTATGCTTGTGAAATTAACATTTCAATGAGAAAATGATCATGAATTAAAATAATGATTGCAATTAAAACAGCTCATACACATTGAATAAACCCTAATGTATCGGTATAAAAAACAGAACCTAGATGTGCAAATAATAGTGTGGATTTCCCTAATGCAATCAGGAAGTGTTACAACTCTCTGATTACAAAAAACATCATTCTATAAATATACAAAGTTGCCACTAGGTGACAGTACAGTATAAGACTCAGAGTCATAGAAACTTCATAAAAACAGATTTATGCCAGGAAAAGTAAAATCACATCTGAATACTAGATAGTATGTACACAAGCTGCCTTACCTGGGTTTATCAAAGACAGAATGATCCGATTTTGCAGCTTCCTCTATAAGAGGAATAACAATTCTCTCTGTTGAGTCAGTTAGAAGGGTGAATGTCGGCTCCACTATGAAGTCTATGAATCCTAAAACATAAATATAAATGAGTTTCAACATAACAAACTAATAATACAAAGTTTTTCATACAAAAGTAAAATGAATACTAGAAATGAAAATGGATTATACTGCATTTAAAATATATATATATAATTACTTTTACACTGCTAATGTATAAAGTGATTGATTCAACCTAAGGGGTTTGTACGTGTGAGTGCAGAGTGTACAGTGGGCCTGGTACCTATGTCATTAAAGAACAAAAGAATAGTGATGTATGTGGGAGGCAGTGAAAAGAACAAGTACTGCAGTATTATGTGAGATGCACTCTCCACCATGTTCATTTTAGCGAGATGCCGAGTGCTAAAAAACAAAACAAAACACTTCACGGATCGGTAATGGACTTAGAAACAGTGTACTAAACCATTCAACTAAGTCTGCCAGGGGGCATGCTGGTCCCGTCCATTTGTCAGTAGGGGCATAACTATTTGTGATCAGCCCCACAGCAAAACTTTTAAGGCCCCTCTCTTGCCTCTTTCATTTCTGCCTCAAAGGCAATTCCTAAATTCTAATACAGAATAAAGTGATATTGATTTATAGTAGTCATTAACTCAACTATATATACATTCATATCATTCAAATGTATTTGTCAAATGCTATTATTACCTATATAAATCACAGTGCTCTCCCCCCCCCTTGTGTTTTTGAGCCCCATCACAGTCACATAGTTACACCCTTGCTTTTCAAGCATTAGATACTTGTACTACTACTATGTGCCTTATTCTTCTTGTCCTATGTATACAGCCATACTGTCCATTTCTATTATGCTTTTTGTAATCAAGGTTTATGCAAATGCAGCATGTCATTTACTATATTCATAGCTGTCTATAGTTTTGCCTTGTCACATAAAAGATCAGTCCAGCCATTTGGATATTCAAAACGGTGGTGGTATCTGGTACTAGAGCTCTAAATTGTGATCAGAAGAATTGTAACATTCAGGAACAACCATGATACATGAACTGTGTTATTTTCTGCACACTGAAAAGTATTGTCTGTTCATATTGAATCCGAAGAATGTGCAATTTGAATACTGTCCTGATTTTAAAAAAACCAAACAAACTTGCAAACCTGCAAATGTCACTAACAGCTTAACAGGATGCCATTTATTTGGACTGCAGTGTGCTTTGTATCCACAAATTACAGGCACAGTCCAACTGCAATTCCATTGTGAACATGTTAAGAAGGTCCTAGCTTATGTCCCCTTATCAGGTGGGAATTTTGATCTGTATAAACAGATAAACACATATGGCCAAATTTGATAAAGCAAGACAATTTGAGATCACGCCTTAAAGCAACCTCACTTTGGGCTGATTCACACCAGCAGTTGTATTTATTTCAGCACACACCACTGCAACATGGTGGTGTGAACTGAGCCCATTGGAAACAAGAAAAATTTCCTTGTCTAGCGCTCGGGCTGCACTGGAAAAAGGGCCCAGGGCAGCCCCAAACATGGTGTGAATCCAGGCATAGGGAGAGGTAACATGTTTTCTGGGTAGCCAGTCACCCTACTGCTGATACCTATCTTCCTTGTGCTGTGACTCGCCATCCCACCTGCTCCCCCACCCCACCCCATTTGCCACTGCTCATTGAAATACCCAGCACTCTGGAGAAGCATATGAGCTTCTCTTTTGCCTTCTACCATGCAGTGATTGGCACCTGCAAGGTGTAGACAGGGGAGGCTTTTTAGCCTGTTTAGGTTCCAACCTAGATCAAGCGGGAACTTACAGAGGGCTCCTTTTCTGTTCTCCGGTGGGTGGACATGGTAGTGGGGGAATGCAGATGAGGTTAGTCTCATCAAAGCAGAGAAGGGGGCTATCAAGCAAACTCGTTACTTTTGCCTGAATGCACAGGTTTGCTTTAACTGACTTCCACATGCTGAAATATGTTTCTATCATTAACTGTATTTTGCATAACATTTCTTTTTCGGATAGAATTTGTAAACTATGTCATTAGTAGGTGTTTCTCCACATCTGCGTTAAGAAGGAGTAAGCGCATTACCTATTTGTGACTGTGCTACCAGTGTTGATTTTCTGTCACAGAGTGGTGAGAAGGGAAGCCCTAATTCAGCCTCTTTGTCGCCCTGTAATGAAAAACGCCTGCTGTAAATACTTTGGATTAGGCATAAGAACTGTGCAGCTTGCATCACATTTATTACTTAATGGTCTCTGCTCATCTTCTGTACTGGAGCAATATATATGGAAGCAGAGAGTAAAGCCTTGTACCTGGACGGTGCCTGAACTGACACTGCCGTCACAATGTGCATGCATATTATTCTCTGTGTTCCAGAGGCTTAAAACTAGCCATAAATATTCCAATCTGACTATACCATCTCCTTTAGATTTATCAACAACTATTTAGTGCAAGGGTTTACTATCCCAGGGGAAGATTAGGCTGAAGGGCAGGGGTCATTTCCAAGTCATCCCCTACAATCCCTACTTTTTTAGAATATCTATGTGAAAAGGTTTGTTATAATAAACTATGTTCCGTAAAGCTAAACTCAGGCCAACAGCTAAATACATAGATGAAATACATTTAAGGGAGCTATTTTACTTGCCAAAAGATTTTTATTTTTTGTGCCTGCAGTCCCGAGATTTACATCCCTCTGCCACACAACACAGTCCTGTCTAGCACGGCAGTAGACTTTAATTTTCTCAGCTGTAGCTCAGTAACATTTATAGGCCTTGTTTTTCCCCCAGCCTATGAATGGACAGGGAAAGGAGAAGCAGCAGACTGATGTGCTAATCTTTCTGTCACAATGCTCTCTCCTCCTATTAGTTTTCTCCTTAAATTGCAGCAGAACTGATCAGTTCTTTGTGCTGTTTCTTTCACCCAGTCTGCTGTACAGGCACTGGCTGATCCAAGGCCTAATTCAAGTACTTACACTGCTCATAGCATGTATGAATGATTACGGAACTGCATTCATTTTCTTCTCTTTTAGCTTTAAGACAACACCCACCTTCCGGTATGGCTACCAGTACCAATCACTGCGACAAACTTGGTGTGGTGCAAGTTTTTTTAGCCCACAGAAAATTGTCACTTCCATGAAAAGACCAGTTAGCTTTGTTTATGTGCCAGGCCACAAGTTCCCATGTCCTCTTTCCCTTTATTTGGAAGTTCCTTCTTGTAGTTCTACTCTTTCCTGATCCTATTACTATCATGTAATTCCTTTTTAGTGCCCCTTCACACTAGACAGCCCCCTAAAACACTCTATAGAGTACTGGAGCTGTCACTGTTGATAATTGTTAGTGCACAATGTATACACTCCATCCATGTCCCACATACAGCAGCGAGTCATCCAGTGGCATCCAGTGCGCTGCGTTAAAATGCAGCATGTGCACCTCCCATCTCACCCACTTTGTGGTGTGAACAGGGCACATAAATATGTGCTTTAGTGGTGGCCTGAGTTTTTCTATGCAGAGAAACGCAGGTCAGCGCTATAGTGTGAATGGGCCTTTACACTATTCTCTCTAACTTTTACCCTCTCTCCTTCCTTCGTGTTATTATCTTCAGAACATCTCCAACATTCATCTTTTATTGGCCATGTAGGTCTTCTTTGGGGTGATTTGTACAGACACAGCCAGACACAGCCAGACAACAGCGTGTAGGAAGAGTAGACATTCAGTTACAAGCTGCCTGTCCAAAACACAGCCATCAGCATAGCATAGTGGGTGGTGGATAGAGAGATGAATGGAGATGTAGGATTTATTGTTTTGAACATATGGCTCAGTGGGGAGGGAAACATTCAGGAAGTCATGCAACTCCCCATTTCCCCTGGAGGACCAAAAGGTTTTCCTCCTAGGGAGGAGGAAGTGAACCACAGTGATATATTTTCTCGGTCCCCTCTTATTAAAGTTTGATAACAAACCCTGACATTGCTCCCGGAAGCCATGGGTTCTGTCATCTTTGACTAGGTTGTAAAAAAAACTTAACAGCGTTTAAAGACCATTTCCACCTTTGTAAGTGATTTGCATTGATTGTGGTAATGTAGGGGTGCTGTGATGATGTATACATGTGTACATTTTCATGACTCACATTGCAGGTTTTCTTCATTTTGTTATTAACTTTTTTTAGGCCCAACTCCTAGAAATTCAAAATGTTCTCAACGGGACATTCAGTTTGACACCAGGGTCGGATTGTAAAGCAGGCTGTTAACTGCTGCCCCCCTCCCTGTGAATCTGTGTAACATGATCACTAAACACCAGCTCTGGCTTTGCACACAAAACACTGTCTGGGGGAGGGGGCACTATGAATACTAATGAATGGGGGGGTGGAGAGCTTAGATGTAATATACACAGATTGCTTGCAAAACATAGAGGCAACCATTTCCATGAGGAGGAAAACGCAAGTTTCTGTGTTCATATACTGCAACTGCATATGCATGCTTCATGTAGACTGGGTGTACATTGCTGGCATATGTTTTTTTTAAATACCTCTACATAGGTAGAAATGGGTTTTAAAGCATTGCTTTTTATGCAAGGTAAGAAAGAAGTCATCTTTTTCTAAAAAATAGAATTAAGCTAAAATGTGCCCTTTTTATTCATGTGAAGTATGATTATTAATGATCGTCCCCTTTTCAAAGCACATTATAAATGTTAGTAATAAATACACAATTAGCAAATGTGATAATAACTTCTACTTTACAATCTGATTCTCATGTAGTGAAAGGAATATTGAACTAGCACCTGTCGGAAGAATTCCTCCATCAGTAAGTCTGTCCACCTCTGATGCATATCCCACATTTTTGCCGGATGACTGATGTCTGCAGCGTGAAGAATCAAGGACATTGCTTTCGATTTGTCTATTCTGTCAGATAAAAGCACAGTTCAATTATTTTCTGAAATGGAACTCTGACAATGAGAGGAGAAAATTCTGAACCGCTCACCAAGGGTAATCTTAGTTTGCTTTATCTGCTAATTGCAAAATAATACAATGCACTGTTATAAACACTGTGATAATGCGTCATATCAAACCACGAGAAGAGTTCCATTTTATTACCTCCACAATTTTCTTGGCTTTTTTTTCTTACACATTGCATATGCCATTCGTATTTTTATAATAGTATCCCTAATAAAGTTAAACACAATTCATTTTCTCTAACTTCTTCCATACCAATTATTCATTACAGATCCAGTCAAGCCTTCAATAGTTTCATAATCAAAGTAAACCTGTCATGAAAATAATGTAGAAGTTGCCATTGCTGACCTTTCCTTCTCAAAGTGCTAATAACCTGGTAGTCACGCTGATTGGCTGAATTCAATACTTTCACAATTTCTGACCTGATACAAGTATGCAGGTTAGGAGATTTGACTTTTCTTTGATCTCTGTGTTTGTTCCTGGTAAGTGGCTGACTAAGTATTGAATGCAGTAGGTTAGCATTACACCCAGGCAATCAGAAGGCACTTACCAATGGTAGCCTCCATTTTTTTCTATCAGAAACTTTCCTTTAACATTTTACAATGTACAGTACATAATATGGATAACTAGTCTATGCATGGATATTGTGTTCTGAAATCATTTTCAAGTTTCAGAAATGCTGATGGGCTTATCAAGGGCTTCCCCAAGACATAGCATTCAAGATGTGCCATTTCTTTTTTATTAGAAACCCCCTACTAGAAATCCTAATTAATAGTCCTCAGGTTTGCCCATCTGGTTACAGCTGATAATCTGAAAGATAAGTGAAGCAATGTAACATGATGGTAGATACAATTAGTATCTGTTTAACAAGCAGAGCAAGTGGCATACTGTATGGGCAGTGGCCCAGATACTGTAGAAATCAGGCCTGACACAAAAGTCAGGAATGAATAAAAGGCCAATGCCGTTGACATAAGTCAGAACCAGCAGAACGCAGAAGATAGGACCGGATCAGAACAAGAAAGACCACCAAAGACCAAGATGAACATTTTGCACAGGCACTTTGCAAACATGGCATGTGTCTTGGCTGTCTCTAGAGACTTACATAGTTACATAGTAAATCAGGTTGAAATCGAGTTCTATTGAGTTCCACCTATAGAGATATTTTTTAAAAAAGAAGAAAAGTCCCTGAATGAAGTCTGAATGAAGCCAGTTACAGAATGCTTCACAATCAATGTGTTTATAAGGTCAGTCTAACTCAAACTTGTATTTCAAATTTTGGTAAATGCCTAACAGTCAAACCACCAAACAGTTTCTTATATCCGTTAGGAACTCAGGTAGTAAAATATATTCTTTTTGACGCCTGCACAAATGCTACAGCCGACCTAAGGTGCCTGCTGTTAGAATTTTAATTAGTTTATATTTAGCAGAAATGCATTTAGAGCAGATAGGATCAAGATAGGAAAGAACTATTCATTTTAAAATTGTATGAAAACACAAGAACAAAAATCGCATACATTGCAGCTTAGCAGTCTATAGATGTTATGGCTGCTTTCGTTTTCATTTTCTAGGCACCTTTTCTACAAGTACAGAAAATGCATCTAGATCCTGAGAGTCATACTGTATCCTCCTTCCTTCCTCGAAATCTCAAACAATGTTTTCCGCTTTCCGCACTATCGTCTGTGAACTACATAATTTGTATGTAATAGAGATGAGGAGAGGGGGAGGTATTTGTAATCCAAATAATGAGAGCAGCCTCTCAAAGCTGCTCCTCTATAGATACAGTACAGTAAACATTATCGCCCAAGAACATGAAGCGTACTACTGGCAGGATCGCTATGTAAAAATAATTTTAAAAGCCTGAAAAAAAGAAAACTATTGCCGCAACCACATCTATGGACTGTTAAAATAATATATATATATATAAAACTTTTTTCTTATTGGGTTTAAGAAAACCTTACCACTGGAACGCTTAGTAGGTAAGTGAATTAATTGACTAAGCCAACCAGTCACTTTTAACTGAACTATTACTTTGAACTGTCTTCTTAACTGATAACAAAAGTGTACATAGACATAATTCTACAGTTGTAGTAAATATCACAAAATCAAAATAAATAATAGCATTAAAACTACCTACCCTTCTGGTTGTTGTAGTGTACTCCTCATAGTTTTAATCTGCTGAAAGTGACCAGACATATCTGTAGATAAAACCATCTCAATCACCAGTGTTCTCAAGTCTCTGTAAATAATTGCAAAGCACAACATAATATGGTGTGTGTTTAAATATAGTTTACATGACATATGAGCAAGTTATTTTACCAGTGGTCCAAGTTGGATATCTCAATGCCTCATACACTGTATTCCCTTAAAACTACTTTTCCTTTTTCTCTTTTTCATTACTGCCAAGCACTTGATAAAGAAAATGGACAAATGAATGAATATACAATGCATTAAAACAGAATGATGCTACAGTCACAATTTTTTTTATGGATTTTACTATAACGAAGCTGTAAATAATATTTTTTAAACTGTTTAAAGCCCAATCGAACTTTCAGTTTGAATTAGATAAATACATCCCAGGTGTTTCAATACAAAGTGTGTGCAAAACTCTTAAAAAGTTTTCTTTAGAAAAACGGCCACAGTCTGAGTAGAAATGCTTGCCCCCGACTAGCAAGCTTCATATAATTATCCTTTCTCTCTGCGGGGAAGCTGTAGTCTCTCTACAGATGTCTAACATGCCGAGTCAGAGCCAAAGCTCTCCAGACAGAAGGAAGCATGAGCTTTGCCGATTGCAGAGCTATAAGGTTGTACCAGACCTTTGTAGACCTCTGCAGAGAGTTCACTGCTTTCACATGGAGATCAAGGGTCCCACCCTGCAGGTGCTGGCTAGGGACAGGCTTTTCTACAGAGGCTGTACCGGAAAACATACAGGTGAAACTCGAATAATTAGAATATCGTGCAAAAGTAATTGCAGTAAGTGCTGCAAAAGGGGCCCAAACCAAGTACTGAGTACATATGCATGCTTGTACTTTTCAGAGGTCCGATATTGTTCTATGTACAATCCTTGTTTTATTGATTGCATGTAATAATCTACTTTTTTGAGGTTGTGGATTTGGGGTTCTTGGGGTTTTCATGAGCTGTAAGCCATAATCATCACAATTATGACAAATCACGGCTTGAATTATCTTGCTTTGCATGTAATGAGTCTATCTCATATATTAGTTTCACCTTTTAAGTTGCATTAGTGAAATAAATGAACTTTGCACGATATTCTAATTATTCGAGTTTCACCTGTATAGTAAGACATTGTACAAACTTTGTTTTAATGCATCTTAAATGTATTGATCTGGGTTTTATTATTTAAATAACATTTTTGATTTGAAATAAATTACAGGAATTTAGATGAAAACATATTGTAAAATATAGTGGGGCAACTGGTTAGTGTGTTGTTGATTTGTGAAGAGTGTTGATTCTGATGGAGCAGCTTAAAAGGGATTATATGAAAACATTGTGAATATATTTATATACTATAGAAAGCTCTCATAAAATAATAGGAATGTTTACTCACTGTAAAATCCATTTCTTGGAGTTCCTTAAGAGACACATGATCAGTAGAATCAGAGATGACTGGTTATAGTGCTGCCTTTAGGAGGAATTGGACACTAGCAAACAAAAAAAGCAGCTGGGCAGCCAACTATAACTCTTACCACTCTCATGATGCTTTAGCTTTTTAGAACAGTATTAAAGTATATCATAAACACAGAGGGGTGGGATCTGTGTCCCTTGATGAACTCTTAGAAATTGATTTTACAGTGAGTACAAAAATCCTGTTTTCCTAATTGTTCATCAAGGGACATAGTATCAGTACAATCCGAGACTATTGGGGCGTTCCAATGCCACATAGTAACAAGAATGATAATGAGCCCATAAAAAAACAGTGTAAATCCTAGGGGCTGCTTCCAGGACCTTATGGTCAAAGCTTGCATCAGCAGAGGCTTAACAATCCACGTGGTGAAACTTAGAGAATGTGTGAACAGAAGACTAGGATGTGGTCTTGCAAATCTGGGGGGGAGCAGATTCTTGGTTCCAAAAGGCCCAGGAAGCACTCACAGATCTTGTAGAGCAGGCTCAAAATTTCCACTCGCCTGCTCGCATTTGGCGAGTAAAAATAAGGTGAGGGCGTGGAAAATTGGGTCTCCAAGTACCGGTCCGCGGACCAACTCCGGCCCGCGAGACGGTACTATGTTGCCCGCAGCCAGCTGACATGTCAGGCACACGGTCGCAGACCGCGTTCCTGACTTGCGGGTGCAGCTCTACGGTCTGCATCTGTGTCGAATGCAGACTGTCAGCTCTGGCTTCCTTCGGGCCGGAGCTCTGACAGTTCTAAGCTCCGGCCGAAAGAAAGAATGTATGTGAGCAGTATCGATCCCTGGTTATCGGGGTGATAGTGAGGTCTGCTGCAGACCTCTCTCATCGCTCACAGATAAACCAGGGATCGATCCTGCTCACAGCCTCCTCCCTGCAAAGATGTGAACAGGTGGGGGGGGAAGGGGTTGAGTTTATTATTATTTTATTTTATGTGGGGGAATTAATAAGAGGGGGTGTATTATTTTATGGGTGTG